CTGGCTTGTTTTTACTTGTTGCGTTTTAAGGGTGAGGCGAGCACACAATCTGAAAAAGCCGCACCGGGCGGGTGTGGGGGGGGGAAATTTTGGGGAGTGGAAGTCCACCCATCTTAAACTTGCCAAGGTTGAGAAACACTGGGATGGAGGCATTGACCACTGGGGTTTAGAATTCCAGGAGCAACTGTCAATAGAAGAGAGGGCAAGGCCATGAAAAGCAGATCACCCACCAACTATGCCAGTGGAGAGGATAATACACACACAAGGTGTTTGTGCCAACGCTAGCCACGCAGCACCTTGGAGTTCATGGCAGTTGGTGGTTTTGCCCCTTAGATAAGCTCTGTTGGCAAAGCCCAGCCAAGTTAGTCTGCCAAAATCCGCTTGAAACATCTTGGCGATGGCTCTCCTGAGAATCCGGCCGATGCTTTGCAGTTGCAGGCTCCGTTGCTAAGTGCTGCAAATCGCAACGCCCTGCTGCTCATTCATGAATAAATAAGGGGTCTCCGAGCCCCACTTTGGAACCCTTTGCCTATAACGTGCTCCAGGATAGGGAGCCTTTAAAAACTTTGCATGCTAATAGCTCCGGAACAATAAATACAGCTTGATGGATCCAACATAGTATGAAGCGCAGCCAGCAGTCAGAAAGTAGTTGAATGGGGTGTATTATGTGAGTTGCATCCATTATCTCTCCCCTTGCCAGGTTAACAAGGCAAACTTTTGCAGCTGGCTGAAACAACAGCCTTTGGGGATAAGGAAGACAACTTTCTCTTGATGCTCAGAAAGGTCCAAGCTCTGCCATGGAGAACGGTGGCTTGGAAGATTATTTCAGTGAGATTATTGTATGCATAGAGGTGGAAAGACTCAACAGCACCCACAAGAAAAGTTGAAGAAAAATAGAAAAGAAAAGAGGAAGATATAAAGAAGTGACTTCCGATATTCTTCACAGCAATTGTGACTTAGAGAGAGGTTAAAATATAATTTACATCACAATACTCTTCTTTCTATAATCTATCCTGTCTAATCATCAAAGCCATAAATCACTAGTTCATTCCCCCCATTTTTACACAAAAGGTCCGTAAGAGGCTTCCCAGTCACCAGTAAATGGAGATAGTATCTTTCCTCTAATCAAAAAAATTAATTTATCCATCTCAGCAAGGTGTATCAGACACTCCTGCTGGACCTACTGATAACATTTTCTTTGCAAACAGTAGGGAGCAGAATTTCCCTTCATTCCTTCCAGATTTTTTTCCCCAAGTTCCTAATCTAGTCCAGGGCTGTAGCTTTTCCCCAGTAATGTCCCATTCAAGTCCTAACCAAGTCCACCCTGTTTAGCTTCCACAAGATCATCCAAGGTCCACTAGACACTACATCTGAAAAGCTGCCTTGGAAACTCAAAGGAAGAGATCTTAGCAAAAGGAGATACAAGTTCTAGAAGGCTGCCCAGATAGGACAACTGGCATTTTCATGATGCAGAAATGAAATAAACCAACTTGCTGTGGAAAATTAAGGCGATTCCCTTGCAGCACTGCCTGATCTTGAGCATTTGGGAAACAAGGTTTGTTTGTTGAGCTTGTCCACTTCACCAGGAGATCCCTGATACCTATAACTCTCCCATCTTCTCCACAGAGTAACCGGTTCTTTAAAAAAACAACCCGGAAAAAAAAACATTCCATTTTATTAATAACTGAATTTCCTTTTTAAATTTTTCCACAAGTGCCGTCACGCAGTTCGCTTTTCATTGCCGTTTTAAAAACAATATTAAAAATGTTTAAAAGAGACGATCACGTGCGAGCATGCATCTTAAAAAGCTTACAAACCAAATCATTTTTTAAAAGATCGCGCGCGTGAGAGAGAGGGAGATACCGTTGGGGATAAGAAGAGGAAACGCGTGGCCTTCGGTGCTCCGAAAGGTTTGTTTTCTCCTGGGGAAGCCGCCAGCTGTCCTCTGGCGCTTCAGCTTCCGGCGGTCCAGGTTCTGGCCCGAGAGCTCACCGGAGCTTTATTGACCAGAACTGACCCAGTGGTATCTGTCCACTCGCGGGCAGCTGAGCGGCAGCGAGGGGCGGCAGGCTTTGTACCCCTTGTACGGGAGGTAGTAAGCAGCAGAAGGATTCGGTGGGACTCTATCAGGACCGTAACATCTTCGCCGAGAATACTGGGACCAGAGTGGGAACGGCTCACTGCACTGAAAGCAGATGGAGATGGGGGGGAAGATTCAGGAGGGGAAGTAGCAGCCTGTTCTTCTGCCAACCACCTTCATGCTCCGCTCAGCTCCTTCCTCTCCCGCTCTTCTGATTGAGCTGCTCTTGATAGAACTTTGTATCTAAGAACCACCATTTGTTTTCCTCCTCCCTCCCCGCTTCTGTTTCTTTTGTGTTGAAGCACTCATGACCTGCCCGCTCATTACATCACAGTGGGACATTTCAAGCCAACGTGAAACTTGCCCTGCCTTAATAAGTTAAGAGGTTCTTTCTCAGTTTTTTAGAATTGACCCCTCTGGAGCAAAATGGATGTTTCTGTCTGGCCCCAAGGCAGCATTTTGTCCTTGCAAACAGAAGATGGGTGGAAGAAAGCAAGCCGGTGGAAGAAAGCAAGCCGGTGTTAGGCCCCAATCAGAGCAAATAGAGGAAAAATGTCCCACTTCCCCTGATCCCCCACTGGGCTCCAAGACCTCCTGGACTTTTTTAAAAAGGGTATATTCCCCGACATCAGCCTCGGGTGACAAGCCAGTCGGTCAATTCCCATCACAACCAACAGATCAACATTTGGTTGATCCAGGAAAAAAAAAAAAAGCAGATCCTGCATATGCGGGAAAAAGCTAGGATGAAAAAAAATTAATTTGTTAAACGTTGAATGTAAGGCGATGGCTGCAAGGGCAACCTCCCGCCCCCGCCTTCTTTTCAACCCCATTTTTGCATCCCACGCAGGACGTTCAATCCAGCTCTTGGTTTGGCAGGATGCCCAGAGAGAGGGCCAAAGTCACGGCAGAAGCTCCACCAGGTGGGGCAGGGGGAGAAAGGTGGAGCTTCTGACCCCCTCGAGCTTCCGGATGAACTGCATCTTGCAACATCCACGGTGAGACCGAGCAAGCCTCCCGCGTCACCCGGTTTGCAAAAATGTTCCCCCAGGTGCTCTCCAAATCTCAGAGGTGCCTAGGAGCTGGCGCCTCTGCCTGCCCCTGTTCTAGGATTGCCTTGGAGTAAAGCAGTGTTTCTCAACCTTGGCTGCTTTAAGAGGGGTGGACTTCAACTCCCAGAATTCCCCAGCCAGCCATGCTGGCTGAGGAATTCTGGGAGTTGAAGTCCGCCCCTCTTAAAGCAGCGAAGGTTGAGAAACAGTGGAGTAAAGCCACCCACAGCTCCCTTCTCTCACCTGATAGATGCTGTTGGGGTTGCTAATGGTAGGAATACTTTTGGGCTCCGTGGGGAAGCTGTCCTCATCGGAAGAGGTGCTGGAGCGGTAATCGGAGGAGGAAGCCTTTTCCACCGCCTGTCGGATGCCCTGAGAGATCTCGTGGTCGTTCTCTTGGCCTGTGAAGTGAGCCACGGTGAAAGCTGGATTTTTCTCGCCGTATCTAGACAGAGGAATGTGTTAAGCGGGGCAGCAAACCGAGCCTCAAGCAAGGAGGGGTAGCTTGGTCCCTGCAGAGCCTGTCTGCTCCTTCTTCCTAACCTGGGGTGCCTTTTTTTTTTTAAACCAAGGGGGGCTTTTTAAAGGGTACAGTCAGACGACCCCCCAAAACATTTTGCAGGGAGTCAGGATTCACCCATCTGGCTCAGCCGCGGCTTCTTAAGCATTGCTCCTGGAGTACCCCACAGTCAGCTACAGTATTATTTTATTTGTTTTTATTTTATTGGAAGTCACCCAGAGTCACATGTGTGAGATGGGGAGAAGGAAGGAAGGAAGGAAGGAAGGAAGGAAGGAAGGAAGGAAGGAAGG